TGGGACAGGGAGGGGGTGATGCTACTGTAGTCGAACGGTGGGACGGACGTGCAGTTCAGTTTTTGGGCACGCATACGGTGCTGCAGGGATTTTTAGGTGTACCTCTTCGGGCTCTTGGATACCTTTTTCTCGTTATATGTGTGCGTGTTCTTTAGATCCTCAGATGGCTCTAGCACTTTCGTGACCACGGGCTGAGAGTCTTTTGCTAGATTTTGGCATTTAGCAACTGACATACGGTTTAACGTGAAGACAACAACAACAACAACACGCCCCGACCTGGGCATCACCGCACGTAGTCTCTTCCTAACTCTCCCTCACCTCTAGACTATGGAGGATCAGCAAGAAGGCGGGCTCGAACAACCTCGCCCTCGCCAGGGCGCTCCCGGCCCCTCCCTCCTCTGCCGCCGCCGCGTCCCCGTACCCCGCGGCGACCCCGGCCGCCGCCGCCCTCTTGACCTCCCCTACCACGCGGCAGAAGTCGGCCACCTCTCGCGTGACGGCGACGCTCTGATCCACGGCCTTGAACCCGCCTACGCTTATCAACACCGGCTGGCTCAGGTCCTCCTCCTCCTCTTGTTTCCGTTCGTCTCGGCATTGTGCATTCACGGTGCCTCCACGCCCCCCCCCTCCTCTTACCCCCACCGCACCGTCTCCCACATCTGCTACTAGAACCTCGCCTTCTGCCCCCCCTCCCTTGCCGGCCCCTCTCGCCCTCTGCTTGCGACGACCGCCCCTACCGTCAGGGCTAACACCAGCTGGTCCCAACCGCTTCGAGACGACGCGCTTGAAGCGGCTTCGCTCGCCCGCGAGCACCTGCGCCGCCGCCGCCCGCTCTACCGCGCTCGGCCGGAACGCCTCTCCGGGGCTGGAAATCCCAACAAACATCCCCAACAGGCAAAACAGAGAAGGCGGCAGCAACAGGAGCCAAAGCAGAGGCACGACTCGGCGTTAGGCGGGTCCATTGGAGGGGTTGGGATGGGATACAATTGAGGGACTATTTTTGGTGATGGAAGTTCGCGAGTAAGGCCAGGCAAAGCCGCGAGAACAACCCTGGGAGAAGGTTTCCTCGAAAAAGACGGTGAATAGAAAGAGTCTGATCCAAGACCGTTTGTGTCTTGCTTCTTTGCATCCCCTACCTGTCTTTCGCTGGCGAGAAACAAAGCGTTCATTCGTTTCGAGGGAAGGGCTCATGTAGCACCCCCTTCCGTCAAGCGTGCTCGTGGGCACTGTTGTTCCGCAGAACGGGTCGAACAACTCAAAGCCAACCGCAAGGTCTACCGCGACTGAACACCATACCGTGCCGGTGGGTGGGCGTTGTGACAGGGTTTGCAAGCGATTGACTCGTACCGAATACAACGCTCTCCGTGAAGTCTTCCTTGGAACTTTCACCACACATACGAGAGTACTGCAAGCGCTCAAGGAAGTTGGCGCTGTGAGCACACAGCCGTTCCTGGGTCTCAGAGCAACATAGTTTCTTTCCCAGGCCTTAGGTTGCCCTTGAGCTGTGAAGCACTCATCACCGGACGTGGGTCTTCTTGGAAGAGGCGGGTTAAATATCATGTAACTCATTGCACGTGTTTTGACTTCCCTCGGATCGAACTTGGACACCGGGAAACATTCGACGGCCCCGGCGCAGCAAGCACAGTCAGCCTTCTTTCTTGCGCGAGCGTAGCAGAAGGAAGTACACACGACACCAGCGCTACAAGGCAAGCTTGCTTAGTTACCTTCGAAACTGGAAAGGCGGTCGCTTCCTCAGGCCGAGCTTCGCCGGGCTCTCCGCGCCGAAGAGGAACTCCGCCGCGTGGGCCGGCGTCACCACAAAACCTTTCCCTCTCGAGCTCGCCGCTCTCCAAAACGCCCCCACGTCAAGACCCCTCGCCGGCATGCCCTGCAGCAGCGCCCTGATCTTCTCCCTGACCTCCGCCCACCCCGCGACGACGGCGGCGCTACTACCGCCGTCNGCGGCGCTACTACCGCCGTCGCCGCCGTCGTCGCCGTCGGCACCCGCTGTTACTCTCCCGAGCGGCAGGTGGCCGCTCATCTCGTCCTCTCGCCACACGCCCACGATCTGTCCGGCGTCGATTGTCAGGGGCTCGCCGGCCTCCGTGCGGACGAGGAGGGACTGCCGGCCCGGCACGGGGCTCTCGTAGTTGCCCAGGACGAGGCCCTGCGCGTGCCAGAACTCGATGGGGTCGCCCGGCTGCAGGATCACGGTCCCCGGCAGCAGCCGTAGCTGGTTGTTGCCTGTGCTGCTGCTTTGGTCGTTCTCGGCCGTCATCGCTGTCGAAGCCGTTGGCGATGGCGGCGGCGACAGAGCCGCGCGGGCGGCGCTCGACACCAGAAACGCTGGCGCTCGCTGATAGCGCCTGCTGCTTCTGCTGCTGCTGCTGAGACGTGTCGCAGCAGCGGTGGAGGGCACCGCCACCGCCGCGCTGTGATGCCGCTGCTGCTGCTGCCACGACGACGATGGCCGTGCGGCGGGGCCCACGAACGCAATCCTGCTGCTACTTCCCACTGCACCACTTTCTCGTCTTCCAGCACCAGTCGTCGCTCCCGCTACTACTGCTGAGGGCGGGAAGCAGGCTTCAGAGAGGACCGAGAGGTTGGCCAGCACAATCGCCGCTAGAGCCGCTACGGCCGCACATGAACTTTTTCGACATGTTCGCTTCGGCGGAAACCGCATGCTGGTCGTTGATTTCGCGGAAACCCCCGGCACAGCCAGCAGCGTCTGTCGGTACTACGTTCACGGCACGGCTAGTGGCGCCATCCAGAAGCCATCGACTGCTACAAGGAGGTCTGCTCCAGCGGCTCAGCTTGCCGGGGCGGGGGTGACGCACCTTGGAGTTCGTAATTGCGCCGCATGTCCAACTGGCCCGGCGGGCCAAGTGAGGTGACGAGAGGCACACGCTGTCCCCTGCCCTCTCTGCTGCTCTACGGCACTGGTGGTTGTGAGCCATGCGTTGTTTGTCCCTGTCCGTCATTCTCCTGGGCACCGACATGACGTGCCCTGTGTCGGCTTTCGTGCACCCTTTCGCGGGCAGGACCATGGACGGGTGAGCATATCTACTGCTGTACATGTCTCGGGAGCTCTCAGTTGAAGCTGACATGCGAAATTCCGTAAACACGGTTTTTTTTTTTGGTGTCTTCTCCACACTTTGTCCTGTTGTGTACATCTACAACGAAGAGCACGTCATTGCCCAGCGTGCCACGTACATCAGGTCGAGCTCATCCATCTATCTCCATTTCCACGTCGGGTATCCTCGCCACAGAACCCAAGGATATTCGTATTGCACCGCACCTTTGCGTCATCAACAATGAGCGCTGAGCACTGTGGCACAGCTGCGCTATAAGCTACTAATACTGTACGCCGCTGTAGGCGTACCAGTCCCTGCCTCCATGAGGTCGAGTTGGTTACCAGACTCTGCGACGTCTTGGTCGTGAACTACGCTAGTGTGAACTCCTACGTCGGGTGCATGACCCATGACCCAATTTCCAAGGGGTCGATCACAGAAATCGTGAACATGATGAACGATTGTGACGCCTACGGTTGGTCAGATACAGCGGCTGCAGGCTTAGGTACTGCTGTACGTTTCTACTTCTGAATGTGTCGATGTTCTACACATTGTAGGTCGTTTTGAACAATGATCATGTCCACGTTTTTTGGCCACGATGCCAGCACGCCGACGGTGGGTTTGGACAACCACGATCAACATCCAACAATTCCTGCCGTCCGCTTCTAGTCAGTTATCGGGCAGACACAGAGCCGTCAAGTACTGCCCGCGTTGTTTTCTTGTTCTCTTTTCGTCCAGCCACGAAGGAAATCGGTCTATGGTCAAGCTGTGTTCAAGAACCACTGACGCACACTCCGTACGCCTTCACGACCCAACGCAGCGCTCCCGCGCCGATGGACAACATGCCATTCGCAACCGAACAAGTGTTCATCATTTCTCGCGAAAACCGCTACCCGCTCTTTGCGCGCCATTTTGCGTCGGATACCTGCGGTCGGAGTATCTACGGCGAACCACTATCCACTCAACACCATGCCATGGGGTTTGCTAGTTCGTTCCCCCCTGCCTCCCAACAATATCGCGCCCTTGCTCTGCACCCTCCCTGGTCGTTTTACTTCGACAATCAACACTGAAATCTTTGCTACAGTGTAAGAAGGCAACACCTGCACGATTCTGTATGGCACCCTGCCCCCCCAATCACCAACCTCTTTTTTTCCCGCAACCAACAACACCAAGGATAGCCCTCACCATCCCCACCTACCCTCCAGTGCCTTGCCCATCCCTTCGCCCAACGCTGTTTCACAAACGTTGTTGTCGCGCCTGCATTCTTGCTTAATGTTCCCAACGAACTCTCATTAGACAAGTACCACACCAACAACGCCTCCCTGTCATGCAGCCTCGAATCACCACGCGGGCCTTCGAGCACCGGATACAGGGCGCAGCGCCTGGCCGCCTACAGCAGTAGCCCCCCTTGCAGCAAAGGGAGCATCACCGCGCGACACCGATCCGTGGGGAGGACGGCGAGGACAACGACGATGGGCTTCAAGAGCCCCGTGGACGTCCTGAAGCAGGGGATTGCCAAGATCGGGGCGGGGCCCTACGACAAGGACGCGGTGGTCAAGGTCGTCGACGGTTACACATCCGGAAGCAACAAGGTCGTCGTTTTCTCGTGGACAAGGTGGGTAATTCTGGTTGGAACGATAAAACTGCCGGTGTTGTACGTACGCGACGAAACACGATGCGTGCTTGATTCCAGGTAAATAGAAAAGTATTCATCACCCGGCGTTCTCAACCTCTCCTAAGTTTGAAGCGAATCGATGGAGACACAACTTTTCGCCCCCCCCAACCCCTGAAGTACATCGACGGGGCGTACTATCGGCATCTTAAAGCCCTGGTCTCGCTGGTGCATTATTTCGGAGACGCCACACATGACGCGTTCACCCTCACATGCGTTGCTGTGGTAGTCAAACGCGCCTGGAACATATGGCGATGAATCCAAGCTCGTTGTCACTTTCCTTTTTATGCCGGAGCTGGCGGGTAGTACGTAGGTAGATCTATTACTGTACGTTGTTGCAATTATATAGTGATCCGTGTGGGTCGAGAGTCAAGTGGAACCGATAGTGGCCAATTCAACAAGCATTGCTCGCCACCTGGCTTCATGGCGGGCGCGTTAGATCATGATATCATTGCCCGTCCCGTCCCAATATTTCACTCTGTGGTACACAAACGGTGCTGACACGACTCACGCCGAAAAGTAGCTTTTTGTTGCCGTTGTTCTTGTACTCCCTTCGAGACTTTCTCCTTCCCCCGTCGCTTCTCACGCTCCTTTCGTCCACGACCAATACTTGTCGGGGCGATTCGCATCTCAACTTTTCTCTCTCGAGACGATTGGGTTGTCTACTGCCGTACAACACACCGCTCGTTTTTGCCCGAGATCTTGGCGCCGTCCCTTGTTGGATGATCTGGCTACGGGAGCCTGCTCAAGGACTGCCTATTTTTCGGTGGGACACATCACTTGTCCGCGGATGACGTGTGCGACTGCTGTGGCTTTCGCTTGAGCGCGTCCTTTTTCGTTGCGCTGCAGGTGCCCGTTTTGCAAGAAAGCCAAAGGGTTGATTGAGGATTTGCTGGCAGACCCGGCTGATTACGAGGTACGTGCCCCTAGAGACCTCGAGTCACAACACGACGTGTACATAGAAATCGAGGTTGCGCTGAGGCTGCCATCGATTCGTGAGGCGTCCGCCAGGGGGCGGGAAGGGGATATATCCGTTTGTCGCCACGGCCAATTCCATTACTCAATTCACTTGGCGAACTTTCAGAAAGCATTTGCACTGTTTGTGTTTGTGATTCATGTCTGTCGTGGTTTCCCTCCCATCCACTCATGGCTCATCTCCGTGACCACAGGGTAGGTCCCCCCGTGACCTTCCTGTTGCCACCAGCACACGGTAAACATTGACCCTACCCTACGCCGGGTGTGGTTTCACCCCCCCGGGGTCGCACGTGGAACGAGCTATTTTTCTTTTTTCGTAGGAGGCCATTCGTTCTCTCGTACCGACGTCCCGGTCACACAGTTTTCCGCGATGACATTCACTACGAAATCATCTGGGGGTCACCAGAGTGAAAAATGAGTCGATGTGGGTCAGAAGCAAGCTCTATCACGCCGTTCATAGTGCGCGGCAAGCCGGCTGCCGGTCTTCATATGTTTTCACTCATTGTTCTTGAGGTCCATCCATTCCACCGAGAGTGAACTTGGCCGAGTCTGAACGACCACCATTCCTCCCTCCGTCAGTCGCTCCAGCTCGTAGATATTTGAAAAATAGTACGCAATATTCGAAAACTGTTCACTTCCCATAGTTTACTCGGTGAACGCCTGCTCCCGTGTGCATGCGCCCCCCCCCAAAATATCACCAGCAGAGCTCAAAATCGCTGTGAATTTCCCGGGTCTATCGATTGTTATGGGTCGTCTTTTTGGCCACCCCTCTACGTTTTCGAACGCCTGGGGTATTTTCCCGCTCAATATTGTGCACCCGCTGCCTGGAGTATTCATGAACTGATCCCGGTGGGTGTTGAGACCGTTTTCACTCGGATATTGTTGTATCTTGGCAACCCGTTCGGTCAACTTTCCAAACGAGACATACCTCTCTGTCACCCACGCTGAGAAGCATCAACATGGACACCGATGCCCCGGGGACGTTTCACGCCGGGATGATTCGGTTTTCTCGCCGGAGGCGCCCCCTTTAGCACGCCCCGGGACATATCGTTTCACGCACAATCGTTTTTGCGCCCCCCGGAGCGTTCATAAGGGCTAGTACGGTATTTTTCATTGTCGTGAGAAGAAGCCCGACTCATCCTTGGGCCTTTGCATCGTACACCAGCCCTTGGAACACGCAGCCACAGTTTCACCACCCTGTACACGTTATGGTGCTGGAATGAAGAGCGGGCTTTTTGCTGCGGCAGCACGATAGCAGGAGTATCCCATGCCAAGTCGTCGGTTAGTGTGTTTCACCATCCGCGCTGGTTCGTTCTGTCTGCACAGTCCACTCGCCTCAGCGTCGTTTGGTGACTCGACGAGAAGAATCGACACCCCTTCGCCGTGTCCCCACATTTCATTTTTTCTCACGCCTTTCTGGCTGCGGCGGTCTCGCTTGGCGTGGCTTGTGTGTTGGGGGTTACGTGGATCGGACGTGTGGTTGCGGGCTGGGGGACGCAGTTTGTGGAGCTGGACGATAGGCAAGATGGCAGCGCTATCCGATACGAGTTGAGCCAGAAGACAGGGAGGACGAGTGTGCCGCAGATTTGGATCGGCGGGGAGTTCGTCGGCGGCTGCAACGACGGTGCGTGTGAACTGTGCACGTGGTGTTTTGATTCAGGTTGGAACACAGAGGTTAAGCACATGTNTGCCCTCTGACGTTGCCTCTGTTCCTTCTACACATAGTCGGGAAATAGCGCTTGCCTCGCGCACCTCTCGTGCAAAAGACAAGCACGGCGGCTNAATGTTGTGGGTTTGCTTGTCTGTTTTTCTGTGTCTACCTGCCTCTATTTTCACTAATCGGGCGTCGGCCCTCTGACGTTGCCTCTGTTTCTTCCACACATAGTCGGGCAATAGCGCTTGCCTCGCGCACCTCTCGTGCAAAAGACAAGCACGGCGGCTGCCACAATTCTACGGTCTCAAGCATTCACACTATCGAAACCTCCATATTTTCTGGTTTCCGACGTGTGAAAAGGGCAGGGACATTAGGTGCAGCTTGGTCGCCTCCGACTAGGGACTGTTGGTTGCAGTGGTTTCTACTCGATTCTGGTCGGAAGCCGTGTCCTGTACGCTTTGAAGCGTTGGCCTTGTGAAGCTGGATAGCAAGGCAGGATGTCCCATACGGAGTAATGCGTAGCGATACGGTTTTTGGTACACCTATTCTTGACGCACGTCGAGGGCTTTGCTCTTTATTCCTTTTTTGATTGAGAACCACTCGCTGCTGTACCACGGCACGTTGGGGCTTTACTCACGCTGCTCTCGGGAATGCATCGAACTGAATGAATTGCATCCACAAGCGCGTGGTTACAACCCGAGCTTCTAGAAACACGTTTTATGGGTTCAGAGGTGTACATACGGTATTGATGTTTTCCCAGCGTACGCTTCTTACGCTTGTGTTGACATCCAGCGGCCTCGACGTGAACCGAACTCTCGGGAGTGACACTCCGCCGGTCGCGCCGTATTTGAGCTGCAACGGTCACGATTTTTTTTCGACAATTTCGAACACGAAACTGGCCCTGTTACCGGCGTGGCTGGCGATCGCTGCACGAGTCCGCGCGCATGATTGCGCATCTCGCCCGTGCACGTATGGAAGCCCTGATATCTCATTCCCTCCCGTGCATACACCAAACCCCCCTGTCACTGTTTGCTTCACCCCGACACCCGTCCTCGGGTAATTGGTGCCGTTCAACCACGAACCATGAAACCAGGCCCAGGCGTCTTCACCCTGATGGACAAGGGCGAGCTGGTACCCATGCTGGAATCGGCTGGCTGCGCTTTGAAGAAATGATGACAATCACACCGTGGTTGAATTAAGTGCCTTGTAGAAGCAGCGGCCAATACGAAAAAAAAAAAAACAGCGATGTTTCACGAAATCAAGTACATGCACGTCAGGGAGTTCTTGAACGACTTCTAGAGGAATACGTAGCGTTTTTTTCGTGTAAGAGGGCGGGGTGGACTGTTTGTTTTTGCCCTGCCATCGTCCTGGATCCTACCGCACATTCCTTGGGGGTTTGAAGCGCAGGACTATCTCAACGAAGACCTGTTCCCAAGCCGACAACCGGCGGTGTGAGGGGTGCTGTCTGCACAGGTTAGGAAGCGATCTCGCCGCGCTGGGAGTAATCGTGGTCTTGTTTTTTATTGTGCGAGCTGTGCTCCTCTACTATGATTGTTGTAGGCAACTTCGGGGGGTGCCGTGGCAATGTTTCTTGCTCTCGGGGTGCTGTTGGCGTGTCTCCCGTACCTCGTCACAGGAACTTATACCCTAGGTGGGATATCGTGAGCAATATCCTTGGTGCTTGGCTTTTTTCTGGCGACCCCCTAGACCCCAATTTTTGAGGAACCTACTTGTAGTAAGCTGCGTCTGTAGAGGTGCATTTCTACAGGGGTTGGAGCCTCTCTCGCGTGTTGAGCAGCGTGCATCATGTCCCACGGACAGTGGTGATTGCCATTTCAGTGTGAATCAGCTCCCACATGAATGACATTAACGATTAGACCATCGTATTGGTCCGTTCGCATTGGTTGCTGAAAATCTTCGTCTAAACTGAGAACTTACCAGGTTGAACAATGTGGCGTTTGTAATCAATATGATTCTTGCGTTGAAAGGACCCGCAAAGAGTTACCTCAAGCGGGATTTCGTGATCATCACGAGGCATCTATACAACGCCTGGCACGTTGATAGACGGGGCTGTCGAACGAAGACGTGACGGAGGTCAAAGCAGCAGTCGTCGAGGGGGTGTGGGGGCATGTCAACCGGTCGATCCATCAGTTGGGCGCCGCCGTGGTTTGCGATGGCGAGTCTCCACCGATAAAGTGAACTGCGTTGACCAGTTATATTTACCAGTAACATCGCTTCCGTTTTGAAGAATGGCACCCTGCGCCAGTTGGTTGATGGTACAACTGCGGCAAAAGCATCGCTAGAAAGATTAGACTAAATCTTTTTGTTGAAAAGAAATAGTTGAGATCCGAAGCTTGCAGCGTGGCTCTTGCGTGGACGCAATTGCAACGAAGATGGCGACTGCCCTCAGCTAATGCCTCACCTCAGAAGATCTGGCGAGGTTGTCCGATGCTGCCTAGACGGCTTTTGCGGACGCAGTTGTAGCCAAGACGGGGACTGGCAATCACCCTAGCACCGAGCCCCCCCTTGTCAACGTTTTCGAGGGTGGGGAAACATCCACCACTCGACGAGAAGTCCATCCAACTGAACGTCGCCGGTGTTTCAGATCTTAAAACCAACCAGTGGGTTCTAACGAAGAACTATTGGACAAGAAGTACGAGCACAGCAGTAGATGTACTGGACATGCCTAACGCCAAGAATCCAGCGTTGACTAAACCGCGGGGAAAACCTCGCAACCAGACGTTGTTGAATTTACCAATACGTGTCCAGGAAAGACCAATACAACTCCTAGGCAATTCTGACCTAAGAAAATAATACGATGGGGGTGCGGTAAGCGGTGGACTGGTGCAGTATGAACCCCTTCCCTTCACGACGCGGGTGTATGTGTCTGCAGGTAGAACACCACTACCTAATCACTCGCACTACTGTGCCACTACGAGTAACGGCTATCCGGCAAGCTATTGTGTGGGGCAGCCAAATACGACCAGCGGTTGAGAAAAAACGGCTACACAACAAGGGGTATAGCCCACGAGGTGGAGGCACAGCGCCTCCGATTGGAGCACAAGTTTTGCCTGAAGCTGACGCTCGGTGAACACCGGGCCAACATCGGTGCCCGAGACGAACACGGCGCCACTCGGAACGCAACCGAGGCCTGGTGCTATTGATTCATAGCCACTACCACGCCCCCGTCCTCGGGGTTGAGCTGCACCAAGCCGGCGCCGGTGTAAATTGCAACCACCTTGAGCGAACCGGGCTCGGCCCTCCACGTGCTCGGCGCCCGGCCGATCACAGTTTTAGTAAAGACGTCGATCTCCGTTCTCGAAAACACCTAGTTTGGCAGCAACGCGTACAGCAAAACAGAAAAAGCATGGGGGAACTCAACGGGAAACGAGGAAATATGCCGCCAGTGGTGGAGGGAACGACGCCGGTAGAAACCCTTCCGACCATCCATACGACAGCGTCGTGCACCCATAGCACGACCCAGACAGGTACGAGACGCCGCCAGTGTTGGTCGAGCTGTGTCGATAGATTTGGCATCTTCCTACCCGCATCTCTAACCCCGTCCCCAGAGGGGGGTTGAATATCAGCCTGGTCGCCATGTCGAAGTTGTCGCCTGTCACGCCGAGGCTGTCGGTGGAGCCTATGTAGATGACCGTCGAGGAGGCCGACGGCGAAATCAACCTGTCCATTCCCCAAGGGAGGAGAGCACAAGAAAGGGAAGCGCTGTGCTGAACTGCCCTGTGGTACGTTTGACAGCGACGTGTGATCAAGCAACAGCATCGTCTAATGGTTATCGAATCGTTTTCAGTCTTGCGACGAATCAACATCGATATCAATGTCAGGGAATGGGAGTGCCACTTTCCCCGACCTCACCAGCAGCCACAACGAGGTTTCATCGACCCGGGTATTGTTTGGAAATCGTGTGATCGCCTTATGTACCCCGAAATCTCCGGCAAAGGAAGCAAGGCTACACTCGAAGACATCGTCAAGAATTAACCATGAATAAGTCAAGTTAATGCGGCAGTTTCTTCGCTCCTAGTTACCGCAAAAATGTGCACAACTCGTTTTCGTCGATCTTCCGCAATGTAACACGCCGTTTAACCACAGCCCTAAAGTGGAACTGTTGTAGGTGTCGGCAACCGCGGTTGCTGTTTCGAATGGTACTACAGTAGACTAGTTCACACGAAATCGTTGATCTTCTTGCGGAGTGCGTGCGTACAAAACTATATTTCCACCCGCGTGTTGTGTTGGTGCATATCTACTCTAGAACAAAATCAGCGGAAGAGCGCATGGATTACTCCTTTGATCAAACACAAAGCTTGTGCCTGGTTTCACGGCTACGTGTGATCAATATCCCTAATTCCGGGAGAAAGGCTGCAGCATGACTAGGCAGACCTTCTTGCCGAATTCTTCTTTTTCGGGCTCCGCACCGCTCTCTGCTTAGTGCAAGGAAGGCGTGGCGCGCTTGCGGGCATCGAGATCAACGTGAAACCCCTGGATATTTGGTCAATGCAGACGAAGAACGAACCAAACCAAATGACGGGGGGAAACAAAATAATTCGCCAGGAATCATCCGCATGGAACAAGGAACAAATCCTGCCAGAACTTCTGTTGTGTGCAGTTCACGCGGTGTCGATCGGCAGCGGGCACGTGCCGAGGGGTGTTCACGAGCGAGCGCACAGAGGTTCGGTTCCCACTCGGGCCCGGGTGGAAAATCCCCCCGGTGTGAATCTTCCGCTACAGTACGACAGGCGCGCGAAATCCTACAGCACACTGGAATACGGTGCGTCTTCGTTGAAAGTGTTTGTGTTTCTTCATGTTCATCGAAGTGGCTCAGGGCACTTACCCCTAATGCCAGGTATGTTCCTCGCACACAGGTAGATTGAGCTACTGATACAGGTGTGAATGCCGTAAAGACTGTACCCAGAACGGCAGAAATGAAAGGCATGTGTAGCATCTTGACATGTCGAGAAGTCAAAAGCATCAGTCCCCCAAACGGTAGAAGATCCGGATCGGGAGGTATGAAAAAGATATTACACTCCGAACAACCGTACTTCCTGTGTTATGGTGTCGTCATACCATACCTTTGCTGCATACTATACAGTCAAACGCTGAATAGGTTAACGCGAAGTTGGGAACTCCGAAAACGCCTAGATAAATGTGCGGTATTCGGTGCCGAATTCACTAGCAAACATGCTACAGACGACACCACCACTCCCACCATCACCAAGCAACAAGCAACAACGAATACCAAACATGTGAGCAACAATTCTCGTACAGGCAGCATCAATGGGGACGGATACGCTCCCCGTGTGGCACTGAGGCAGTCGGCTGACCTGGTTGAGTAAGGGCTCGGAGTCGGGCACCACAGTGGCTACCGAATAGGGGGGTCAAACACCACTATGCCAGCGCCAGTATCCACCCCCTGATGCAAGCGTTACAGCGAGAATGTTCGGAAACACGGCGGCATTACGAGAGCTGATGCATGGTGGATATCGAATACTCTGATCAAAAAGCTCAGTACCACCGTCAAGCCCTCCTCGGAACGTCGGTAGCGGTGACAAAAAGAGAAGACTGAGAAAATGGATCAGGAAAAAACACCAACGCCGAACAACTACAGTAGCACCTTGATCTTCAGCGGGCCGAGCTGCTCCACAGGCACCCACCGAGATTGGGCGGTATACAACGTCAGTTGGATCGTTGTGCGGTTCACCACCTTAACAACGATTGCGTGTGAAAAAACGCGAGAACGGTTCACGGATAATGACACAGCGAGGTACTACAGGATATCGATGACGTCATTGCCGAACAATCGAGGAGAGAAAGAGACGCATGGGTACTTTCATAATCTCAAGCTCTCTTCCTGCGGCCGAAATGAACAGAAACATCTTGCACATGGTGTCGTGATGCGCTGTTGTTGTACTGCCGACGTCGAGTCGTGATATTGGTTATGCACGTAAGTCCAAATTTTACCTGGGTTATGTCCATAAGTCCAAAAAAGCCCTGTGCCGTATTGAATATCATCCATTCTTGGCACATCCAAATTGGGCACATGAAAAACGAGGCGGCGCTATCGCGCACAGCAGCGTGCAGAACATCATCATCCAGATCAGGGCCCGTGGACATGAAAAGCCAACATAGATCACCCAAGCAACAAACCTACAGGCTTGTCATATGAAGTTGGCAGCAATAGATCGCTGCCATTGCACTACGAGTAGATTAACGCTCCAGAGCCCTTTTGGCTTACATTAACATGAACGCTCGCCAAGTCAAGCGGTGGGTCGAAGTCCATCACCAGCGCAACCATGTTGTTGAAGCCGGTGCCCCAAATCACTAGGTCTTGAGAACCAGTGTGGCTGATCTCGATGTCCGACGCGTTGATGCTTGGTTCCTCAAAAACAGTTTCGATAGGTCCTCCAAATAACAACGAGGGCCCGCCGCCCAGAAAAATGTCTGGCTCTCAAAGCCAGCAACAATTACTTCACAATCCATCCATAGTGCTCCCGGCAATACGTTAAGGTCCTGTTGTGACATAAACGTCAGCCGATCGCAATACAGAAAGAATCGTGAGAGCTGAGACACCACGAACGAAGTGCCGGAGGCCCGACAACCATGCCCAGAACATCAGCCCACATGCACCAAATTGCGAATGATGCGTGCCTCGGTGTCGAACTACGGCACATTCGCAGCGGTACCCCGTTCCAAATCCCGACCTGTCTCCGACTGCACTGCATCTGAGCCTTTTCTATCGGCTACAGTAGACTTTGAGCACTAGAGAACTTACCATGTACTGCAGATCGTGCTTCTGCTCGCTACGCATCCGTACCTTCACCCACACGCTTCCTTTGGCTAGCGTTATGGCCATCTGACTGGCGGACAAAGTGTCGATTTCGACGTCACCAGCCCCTACTCCGTCGTCGTCACCTCCCAGGAGGAAAACCTTTCCTCCCAGGTGGAAAACCTTTGACACCGATGACGATTGATTGTGAAAAGCGGAATCAAGATGTTCAGGGGTTAAGGCCACCTTCGCGACACGCATCAAGCGCATCAACCACAGAGAGCTAGCTTTTCTCCACAACCTAGTCCAACTTCTGATTCATCCAGCGCAACAGATCGATCACACCTGAGAGGGAACACAGCAAGAAGCTGCCCGATTTTTGCTCAGAGCTCCTCGAGATACAACCTGGACAACGCAAACAAGACTTGGAGTAGAACCCAAGGAACTGAACGAAACGAGACAGCATACGAAACGAGACCACAGGATCACCGCCAAAAAAGGGCTCGCCTGGATGTTGTTTGTCGGCCGTACTCCGCGTACTTATCGGGACTTGTTTGTGTAGTGTATTAACTTCAGACGGTGAGACAACGCCCGTACCCAGGACGCTGTCGTGCTCGGAAAGCAGGAGGAGAAAGAGAGAGTGGCAGCGCGGCTGCTGCACTCAACAAAGGGGGTCCCGGTGCATCATCACCGTACCCCTACCTAAAAGGTTCTACACCATCTGCGTCACACTTGTACGTATGGCTAATGTATCCAAACCATGTCCGTAGACCCACGAACACCCTCCCTGGTTCTTCACGCAAGTGACTAACCATCAGTGGGGCAACAACACCCCGGATACATCAATAAAAAAACCATACGGTGGTGGAGGGGAAACCCGGCCCCCGGGCAAAACCCCTCCAAAGAAAACCCCATCCAACACAAAAACCATTGCTATCACGGCGGATGTACAACGGCCGCACTTATCAGAAAGACCAAGGCGAAGACAAGATCGCAAGGAACTACGTTCCCCCGGACGATGGCCTCCCAACGCCCCCTACTCCTGCCATGGGTACACAGACCGCGACAGTAATGCGACTTTCCCGCATGGTAAACATGGCCCTTCCCAAGTGCTAAAAACTGCTAGCTACTCCGGCAAATTCATCAACTTGCGCCGGTGGTACTGCAGACTGCTCTTGCTAAGAGCCTTGGTAAGCATGTCGGCATGCTGCTCCGACGTCGACACAAACTTGATCGAGATGTCCCCCGACCTGAACAATCCACGAATGAAGTGGTACCTCACGTCGATGTGCTTGCTACGCGCTGAGCTGAGGGGGTTCTGCACCAAAGCCATAGCCCCCTGATTGTCCTCAAGGACCTGAATGCTGCTGCCACTGGTCTCTGGGGCAATAAACGAAAGCACTGCACGCACAAACAAAGCTTCCTTCACACCCTCCCCGGCAGCAATGTACTCTGCCTCCGTAGACGACAAAGATACGATAGCTTGCGTCTTGCTACCGTGGCTGATGACGGTCCCTCCAACCGTTGTTGCCAGCCCTGACACCGAACGCCTATCCTCAGCGTCGGCGTAGCTAGCGTCCACGTACACCGCCAGCCCCAACCCCGATCCCCGTTCGTAGGTGATCCCGAGGTCCCTCGTCTCTTTGAGGTAGGCGAGGATCTTCACGATCGCCTTCCAGTGCCTCTCGGCAGGGGCATGGGCATGGCGCGCTACCGCACGCACGGCGAACGAGATGTCCGGGCGCGAGAACGTCGACACCCACATCATGCTGCCGATGGCCTCCCTCACCGGCCATTCCCCTCCACTCTCGTCATCCCGCTTCGGTCCTATATCGACACCAGGGGAAGCAGGGATGGAGGAGGTCGACTGCACATCAAAGCGATTCACGATGCTGTCAATGTACGCGGTTTGGGAGATTCTAAGGGTCCCAGCCTCTAGGTCTCTCTCGACGGCACACCCGTCGAACCACACGCACTCTCCAAGGTCTTTGGTGGGGAATGCCTTGTTGAGGGAAGCAAGCAACTCCTTGCAATCATCATCAGACCCAGCCACCAAAATGTCATCCACATAAATCACGATAATCATCACCACGACATCGTCTTTCATCTTGCGGAAGACGCACGGGTCAGCCTTGCACTGCTCGAACCCGTTTTCTACAAGAGTATCGGCAGCGTGGTACCCCCACTGCCTGCCGCTCTGCTTCAAGCCGTAAATAGCACGCTCAGCCTTCACAACTTTGTGGGATTTTTCCCCGCACCCCGCGGGGAGCCTCAGAAACACATCCTCGTCCAACTTAGCGTGTGTAAACGCCTGCTTGACATCCCAGTGGTTGAGTTTCAGCGATTTCTCGTTGGCTACCGCAAGCATCAGTTTAATGGATGCGGATGATGGGCAAGGGGAGGATGAGTGGAAGTAGTCCACGTTCGGGATTTGCGAAAACCCCCTAGCGACCAGACGCGCTTTGAACTTCTCAATTTTTCCGTCCTTGTTTGTCTTCCAAGTGAAGCGCCACTTCGAGCTCACGGGTCTACGCCCCTCTGGCGTACCGTCTACGAATGAAAACGTTCCCGTGCCCAAGTGCCCATCAAACTCTTCCCTCATGGCCTGTTCCCATCCCTCTCTGTACACAGACTTGTTAACGCCGGCTACGGTCATGGGGGGGGATTCGACGTCACTCGGACGCTTGCCTATGGGGGATTCTGTACTCAGCTCGGTCGACGCCAGGGCCCTCGCGAAGGCGTCTGGAGAGTTGAGCACGAGGTCCTCCGCTCCCAGCAGGAAGTCCTCTGCCTCTTGGCGCGCGATGTTGGCCTCCTCCGCGCGCTCGCACAGCAGCGCTTGCACCGCCCTCGCCTCTAGCTCTTCCACCACGTCGACCACACACGCGATCATCCAGTGGGTGTGCTCCGTCGTGCTGTTGATGGGCAGGATGGGCAGCCCCGCCTCCGACGCATGGCGGGCGAGCAGGCCTTCGGCACTCGTTGGCGACGGCGACGACTCGTACCTCATGTTCCGGCGAGGGTTCTCCCTGAGTCGGCGGCTGGTGAGCTCCGCCGGCTCGCCAAAGCGGGCGAGCTTCCGTCCCTCGGGCCCGCGGAGGGCCGGGATGTCCGTGTCGCTGCCGCTGTCACTGCCGCTACCGCTGCTGTTGCTGCTGCTGCTGCTGCTGCTGCTGCTGCTGCTGCTGCTGCCGCCACCGCGGCTGCTGCTGCTGCGACGGTCGTCCTCACCGCCGCCCACATCGGCCATCCCGGTCGACGTGGTAGATGGGGCGACGCTCGCGCCCTCCCTGCTCGAGGGGGCGCCATCGCCAGCGTCGCCCGCGCCCGACTCCTGGGGCGCGGCCGGCGGCGCCGCCGGCGCATCACGCGCGGGCGGCTCCGCGGGCCCCGGGTTTGCCGTCGTGTCAAGGTGGAAACCTCCATCCTCAGGTTCTCCCTCCGCCCTCCCTCCACCGTGGCATGACGCACCCTCCCCGCCCTCGTGCTCCCCAGTCGTGAGCTCCTCGTCCTCCTCTGCAATGGGAGGCAGCGGCTGGGGGTGCGCGGTTGGGGCGGCGGGCACAGATTGCCAGGTGAAGTTGCGAGTTGTGATCGCTTGGCGTTTTTCGTTCAGGATGCGCACGCAATCACGGTTTGTGTTGATTCCAGGGCCGAGGTAAAAACACTTTTTTGCTTTCGGCTCTGACTTGTGCGTGCGCTTGACCTTGTATACGGCGGGTTTGAGGAACGGGTACGTCGCCTCTGGGGGAGGTGGGTGCCCGTGCCACATTTCGTACGGCGATTTCTTGTCCGGGTTGGATGTGGTGGAGGTGCAGTTAAGGGCGTTGCATGCCCAAGCTGTAGCTTCGGCCCAAAGGGAGGGGTAGCTCGGCGCTTCGGGGTAAAGAATCGGCGCTTGTATGCGCGCGGCTAGTGCTGCATCCTTGATCAGTCCCAGTGCTCTCTCAGCTACACCGTTGTATTCTGGGCTGTATGCGGGGGTGAACTCCTGCTTGATGCAGTACTTGCGGCACAGCTTTCCGAACTCTCCCTCGAAAAACTCTCCTCCGTTGTCAGACCGCACGACCATGACCTCGGATGGGGCTCCGTCTGCCCGGTTTTCCGCTAGGTATCTCTCGAATGCTTCTGCAGCGTCTGACTTGTTTTTCAAGAAGTAGACGCGGTTCCACCTCGTGCAGTCATCCCTTACAATGAGAGTGTACCACTTCCCCCCCAAGCTCTGCACCCTTGCCCTCCCACTCAAATCCACAAAAACTCTCTGCAGCTTCTTAACTGCACGGGTGGACGTCCTGTTGGGGATGGGCTTGGATAGCCCCTTTGCCGTCGAGCACCCCATGCACTCCCGGAGCTGGCCCACCAGCGTCACCCCTTGCTGCTTCGCCGTGTTCTTCAGCAGCACCTCGTGGGAGTGGCCGTGCGCGCAGTGGAAGTCGTTGATGTCAACGGGGGTGCGGTTCGCTTTCGCGTTACCAGGAGCAATTATGGCACAGGCTAGTTCCCTACCCGAGTTTATGCGGTGACCAGTCTGAACGAACAGGTCCCCCCATAGAGGGAAGTACACCGACTCCCCCCCACCAACGAACACCTCCAACTCACGCTCGTCTGCGGCTAAGCGGCCCTTGGTTTGCTTCAAAAGGGCTGTGAGGGACACGAGGTTGTAATTCAGCTCCGGCACATGAGCGACCCGTTTCAACAGCAGGTCTGTGGTCCCAACGCGAGAACCGATGGTCACCCTCACGTCGCCGTAGCCTACTATGGCGAAGGCTTGCTTCCCTGCGGCGACACTCAAACGTCGATCGCACTCATGGTAGTTTTCGAACGCGTTAGCGCTCGGGAACATGTGGTTGGTTGCGCCGGTATCGGCCACAAACCTTTCCTGCCTGGCCTGCTCTACACCCCCTCGATCAACGACTCTGTTCCACTCGCCTGTGAAGTCACGGACCACTAGCGCCTCCTCTGCCACGTCCAGTGCGGTGGCGTCCAAGACCGGCAGCTCCACCGCGAGCACCGCCTGCTCGGACGAGCACTTGCTCTTGTCGTGTCCGTAGCCCAGGCATTTCTCGCATCGCAGGGGCTCCGGCTTGGTACAGGCGGCCGCCTGGTGACCCTTCTCTCCGCACCGGAAGCAGCGGCCGTGCATGCTACCTGCACCGCCGCCGCCTCCGCCGCTGTTGCCACCACCACCGCCCTTGCGACCACCCCCTTTCCCCTTCTGGCTGCCACCGCCGCCGCCGCCCTTGCTGTGGCCGCCGCTGCTGCGGCCGGGCGCTCCGCCCCTGTTGCCACCGTCGCTCGCGAGGAAAGCATGCTCCGCCTTCCGCTGGCCCTTCGTGGCCCTCCTCCCCTCCGGGAGGCTCGCGTGCACGGTACTGACGACCCTGATTATCTCGCCCCGGTCCAGAGTTGTAGCCGTCTCCAACAAGAATTTGGCTTGTTGGTACTCGGGTGGAAGGGCATCGACAAAGTGTGCGAGAACAAAGGGTGTGTCAGCGTTGAGCCCTTTTTCCCGCAGTCGTGAGTACAGCAGCTCGAGCGTGTATAGATGCTCGACAGGGTTGCTGTTGCTGTGTGCGGGGATCGTGAATCGAAACATCTTCTTCATGAGGGCTTGTTTCGAGCCCTGCGACTCCGGGTTGTGTACTTTGTCGAGTTCCGCAAGAATTTCCTTTGCGGTCTCGCATTTGTTCACGATTGCCTTGTCGGCTTCTCGGACGATGGCTGTAGTCACAAAGTGGAACGCCTGGAGGCCCCTCTGAACCTCATCACTTGTGTAGCCCAAGCTATACAGCTCCGAGCTAGGCCTGTTTGGGTCACCGACGGGTGCGTGCTTCTCGGCGTTGCCGATAAGCTGCCCGTCCAAGCCTACGGTTTTCGCGGCTTGAATAAGGGCCTTTCTCCACGAGTCGTACCCGTGGCCGCGACTCTCCCCTTCGAGACGCGGTGCATTGACCGTAACACGTTTTTGGCTACTACTGCTGTACCCATCGAAAAATGCTCCGGCCCCTCGAATTGCGGTTTGCTCACCTTGGGGGCTTAACCCCCTCGCTTCCCCGCGGTCCGGTCCTACGCCCGGGCTCATTCCGGCTGGCCCCACAGGATTCGCTCCCGATCTACTTGCCCAGCCAGTCGTCACTCTCGCTGGAACCCCAGGACTCGCTCCCGGTATGTTGTCCCAGCTGCTTTCCCGCGGGTGATTTCGCCCATCACGGGCCGTTTCCCGGGAAAATGCCCCGCCGCCCCCAGGCGGCAGAGCCTCTCTCTGGCTTGGGACGGCAGCACCGCTGCCCCTACTGGCATCGCCCGCCACGGCGTCACCAGGCTCCTTCCTCTTCAACTCCATCACTACGCTCATCAGTTGCGATAACTGGCCCTCCAGCCTCGCAATCGCCGGATCCTCGGCGTGTTGCTGTTGCGTGGCTGAGGTCTCTTCCCCCAGCCCTGCGACGGAACCGCTGTCCGACGCAGACATGACCCGATGCGGCTATCCCTCGAGGGACAATCAACTCTAGAGTGTTTGTCGGCCGTACTCCGCGTACTTATCGGGACTTGTTTGTGTAGTGTATTAACTTCAGACGGTGAGACAACGCCCGTACCCAGGACGCTGTCGTGCTCGGAAAGCAGGAGGAGAAAGAGAGAGTGGCAGCGCGGCTGCTGCACTCAACAAAGGGGGTCCCGGTGCATCATCACCGTACCCCTACCTAAAAGGTTCTACACCATCTGCGTCACACTTGTACGTATGGCTAATGTATCCAAACCATGTCCGTAGACCCACGAACAGATGTCGTGGTCGAAGCTGCCACCGGTGACCTGGATCTGCTTGGCCGACCGGTAAATGTGCAAATCTTTGTTGGGCTGAATCATGACATTGGCCGACACCGTGGCAGCCACAACGCCTCCGTTCTCCGGATTCAGCGGTACTCGACCGGCGCCGTTGTCGATCGCGACGATCTTGAGCGGTCCTGGCTCTGGCCTCCACGGGCTGGGCACTTGCGGGCGAGGTGGTATGTCAAAGCTGAAGTTCCTGGTGATGGCGATCTCAGTCGATGGAATAAACTGCAGTGTCAACAGGAGCAGGACCGACAACAAGAAGCAAGGAAGTTTTCAGGAAGCCACTGGCGACTGGGGGGAGAGGAGGAGACGAAAGGGGCGGCCACATAGTGGCGTGAAGAAAGGGAGAGTTGAGACGTCGAGACACGGAAAGTATTCTCGCCACGATCGACTCGGCGCTGCAGAGAGAAGAATCACAGCGCCGGCAGGGTTTGACCGCGGCATCAACATCAACGTTAAAGGGGAAAACACACGTCTCCCGCCAAACCTGCTGCACCGCGTTTTCCGGTAGGGCCGAATCGAAGTACAGCTTGGGCCTTAGACCGAAGTTGGTATCCGTCAGAAAAATACCGGTGTTGATGATGTCCTAATAGCTGTCCCGAGGAGGGCTCCACTGAGGGCAAGGCGTCGATGTTGGGGGCGACCTGTGCCCGGGCAGAGAGTGACATGTTTGCTACGAGGTACGGCGCACTCACGCGATATGGAGTGGTCAAACACCATTCACTAGCACGGCGATGTCGACTTGCTCCCATCGCCAAAATATGCACTGGCCCCCACTTTCAGACAGGTGGTGTGCTTTGCATGTGCCCCTCCGCCTGCATCCCCTAGACCCCGAAGCGCCCGAGTATCGGCTGGCCAACGGCGTTCAACTATGACGTGGGTGAAAAAAGCACTTGTGATGGTTGTGCTTACATGTAGATACGAGCTCAACCCGTTTCGGCGGTGCCCGTGTTGCAACAACAGCAGCAGCTACACCAGCTTCAGCGACAACAACAGACAACACACCGGGTAGCAGAAGTTATTGAAACGCTTTGATTGTTGCAAACCAAACATGGCAGTCCGTGTACGAAATTGGTACGGTGGTAGCGAGGGAAGGCTGCTCACGAATCTGCGCGATATTGTCCTAATGTGTGTCGATACTAGGCGAAACAAATGCCACCGTCACCCGGGAGTCGAAGAAAATCATGCCAGCTCCAGTGTCAATCCCCTGGTGATGATGCATGGCAAACAAGCACACTCAAGTACGAACGGGAAACCTCATATTTCTCGTATTTCGTATTAATGAAATCCACACTTCACATCTTCGCGCTGTCACCTACACAGATACTAGTTCACTGGAGACAACGCATGATTCGTGGTGGTTTAAATAGTGCGGATCGAGCGCAGGGAAAATCAACGAAAGGTGCTGGCAGTAAGTGCTGGAAAATCGCTTTGGTTGTTGACCCTTTGCCGAGGAGAAATGCGTACACGATGGTACCGAATCAGGAGAAAAAGTACGCACTTGTACCGTACGAAGTACGACTGAAAGCGTGCATAAACAGATTTCTGTTTGGAAGCACAACAGGCAATACACACGAACACGTGCTGCACAGCGCCGACTCGTTCATCATAATGAAAAATCGCACTGCAAAAACCACTGTTCGACGCGTGGGTTCCACCGTATGTCTGTCACTCCTTCCGCTGCTGAAATGCGCAGCCATTTTCGTCATTGTTTCTTGTGGCGGCCTGTCCACCAACTTGAGAGCGTGCCGGGGACTTGGCGCAAGTTACATAGTCATAGGTTCACCACAATCACAACAATTCACCCCGTGCTGCACCTGTATTCTCAGCGGGCCGAGATAGTCCTCAGTTGTGGTCCAGTCAGCCCCGGTGAACGACAAAGTCAGGCGGATCATGGTACGGCTCACCACCTCCAATGTGCGGGTTGGGTGGCGGAGTCAGGGGGAGAGCAGGGCGTGCAAACGTAAGCTGAGACAGAAAATTTGCGAGCCACCGATGATTCATGAGCGCCCTACCTACCTTAATGACGGTCATGATTGGATGGCGAAGGGTTTCTATTGTAGCTCGTGCGGGCAGCAAGCTCTTTGCGTACTCGTTCACTATGAACGACTCTTAGACTACATTGCATGGAACTATGTTGCTTTGATACATATCTCACCTCGACCAGCCTGCCCCAACAGAACGGCAAAAGCACAAAGTAGGTATTCTGCTAGAATTTCCCAGATTATCGAGCATGACTACAGTACATGCCAACAAAGTATGTTCAAGCAGCGGAAGTAGCTGGTACAGGCGCAGGCGCAGGTGCAGGTGCAGTTTTTCAAAATACGACCGCTGCTCACGTGGACGTTGACGGTCGTGTCGTCGAGAGGCGATTCGAATACCAGGATCGGTTGAACCACATTGTTGAAACCGGTGCCGTAGACGGTTAGCTCGCGCGTGGAGCCGCGGTAAATCTCGGTGTTCCTTGCTTGGATGCTAGGGTCTTCGAACACGATGGCAACCTTCCGGCCATTTAGCACCCCTAACCACCCGAAATCCACCGTTCCGGGGCTAGCTTTGACACTCGACACCAACAGAGCCATCGGCAGAAAGGAAGGACCCTGTTCGGCAATAGCATCAGGTAGGTGGGTGTAGGTTATCGTGTAACAGTACAATCAACAAACGCGAAGGAACAGGGCGAACATCATGAGGGCTTATGAATTGTGTAGATATAATTCAGCGCTTGCTTGTAGAGGATAATTTCAAGTGACGTTGTGAACGTTGGCCTTTTCTGTCTGTGTGACATATTTTGTTGCAACACCCGGAGTGCAATGCAATGAAATTATCGCAGACACGTCCGAAAAAGCGCGGAGAACCAACGTGAACAGCTGTCTCCAAGCAAGACTTCAACCCTCCTACCTCCCACCACACTCACAATAGAGTGGATTACGGCAAACAACAGCCCACCAGCCGCAGCATCTGAGGCGCATCTTTTGCGGGGAAACACTTGTCTTGATCCAGGCGCCGCCTTCTGCTAGGTTAAGCGTGAGTTCGTTGGGCTTTGTGTCGGTGATGGCAAACTCCGCCTCTCCCACGCGCGGGACTCCCTGAAACTTCACCTGTGGTAGTACAGACAATGGTTGCGGCAAGTTGAGTGACACTTTCACCAGCTGATGCGGCGTGACACATTGATCGATTGTTAGGCCAAACACTGTGGGGGGGATGCTCGAAGGCGACATAAAAAACTGCAGAGTTGTATAGCGCCCGTTCGGTAGCAAACGTGCCGCTCTACGTGGACGAAGGCGAACAGAAAACGCGCTGCCGAAGTTGGTTGTGTACGAGAAAATCGGCTCGGACGTCTCCTCAATCTTCACCTTCAAGGGGCGACACGTGCCATATCAAAATGGTCGATGCCTCGTGTGCTACGCAGAGCATACGGTGTTCCAGTCTCTCGCCACTATTCGTATCGATCCTTCTTGAAATGTGCTCACAGAGCAACGGCAGTAGAAACTTGACTCGCCTCCATGCCCTCCTAAAACCCGCTGCCAGCGATCCGAATCTGTTTGGTCGACTGGTAGATGAGCAAGTTCTCGTCTTGCTGAAGCTTGATGTGAGGCTTGACCGTGGCGATCACAACGCCTCCGTCCTCGGGGTTGAGCCGAACCGAGCCGGCGCCGGTGTCGATCGCGACCACCTTGAGTTCGCCCGGTTCAGCCAAAAAACAACTCATCTCCATGCAGGATATTTCGATTCGTGTCGCCGAAACAAACTGCAGGAGCAACAACCTAATAGCGAAAAGCACGAGCACGGACGTCACCAAGGGAACACAGTCAACTGGCAGAGACAGCATCGGTTCGCTAGAGGGTGTGCGGGTAAGAAACGCACATCCTCCACGCCAACGAACGCACAAACAAATAAAAGCTGAGGCAGCACCGAAGATTCGACACATGGGTCTACCAAAGAGCTACGGGGATCGGAAATACTTTCCCACATTTTGCTTAAACGCCTCGACTTCGTGCAGTGGGGGGTCGAACATCAGCCTGAACCCCGGGGAGAGGTTGGCACCGTCCATGGCGAACTGGTAGACTTCCCTCGCGTAGATCTCCGCGGACGACGCCTCCACAGAGGGCGTGGGCACGAGCGCGCCGGCGGCCTACTCAGACCAAGGGGCGTAGGTTCCGAAGTGTGAGTGCGTCCAACCATCATGCCATGCAAATACGGGAGCGCACATGATTCAGATCAATGGGCACGAGTTCACGTTTTCCAACCCCAACCTCTCCGAGACGTGTAATGCACCTTTATCGTGACATCCCGGTTCTGAAGCGAGCACTCTGAACGAAGGCGACGGGCCAAAATCAATTGGACCCGGCAAGCTCGTTTCCATCTGTTTGTCCATGGTTGGTGCGCGTCGTTCAACAACTTATCGCGTGAATCGTTAGGTGAGGTTTTCGTTCTCGGAGTTATGTATGGCATCGAGACTTCCATCAAGATCCAATCACTCATGCATGCATACCTCAAAGTCACCCTCCGACGTAAAATGCACATGAATGTACGTCGTTTGCTTGGTCGCAACCGCCAAGTCCACGTTTGGAGATTGTCGTTGGAAGAAATAACAGACGTATCACGACAATACACCGAATGTCGTGGTCGATCTGTAGCTACCCAAACCACAAGACGGCAACGTCGACAACAGAAGCACATAAGAACTGTACAACTGGAAACGATCTACCAGTACCAACCTTGGGGAATACCTCTGGCCACGGAAGTAGCAGTCCGACGACGTGCGGATCCACAGCCGAGTTTGACGACAAAGCCGGCCCTCGCCTGAATCTTCTCCGCGGGAGTCATGGCCTTCCACTCTCGTGCTGCCTGGTCAACACGCTCCTGGTGATGCTTGATTGCACCATCCCGCCGTAACAAGGAGCATGCAACCATCATGATATGACATCAACATCGGGGAACACACCAAAACCAAGGGTGATAAGGAGAGTTCAACGCAGCTTTAGGAGAGGGGGTGCAGGGGGTGCGAGAGCGGGGTCTAAACACTCAAACCTAGATAGAGAGAGAGGGAGAGTGGGACCGAGAGAGAGAGCGAGAGAGGAGAGAGAAGGAACAGACCCCGCCCGTGTTTCGTCAATATTCCCCTGTCTCCTTGGGGGGGAGGAGGGTGCAGCTGACCTCTAGGAGAGCATTCTCTACCTGGTGCACCAACAAGAATATCAAAGCGTTCGATATTACGACGACTACACCTGATTGATTCGGTTCAACAAGAAAAATCGTAAGGCCTGCCGGGCACGACATAGGCCACCGTGACGGGCGGGTCCAACACACCATGCCGGCGCCAGTGTCCATCCCCTGGACAATTGATTGATTCAAGCACAACAACGAAACAGGCACCCATGGGATGAGCGGTGGCAAAGTTGGGAGTGTTCCACGGCGACCAGACAACACGAAAAATGTGGGGAACACTGTACGGTGCGCGAAACATTTAGGATACGGAGCGCTATCGAAGTGTGATGGCGCGGAATTCGGCGCACCTTCAGCACGCCGCATGGCGCCCTCGGCGTTCTTCAAACCAACGGCAATGCAAGGAGCACGCACTGCACCACAAGCGCGAGGATACATGCCGCTCCTAGATCAGGTCGGCATCGAAGTTCTCTGGAGTGTGTCTGGTGCTGATTTCGCAACAAACAAGGCTAGCCCGTGGTCAACAAGAACAGAGGATGGCCAATAAGACTAATAGCACGTTACAACACGGGACTGATTCATGGGAGCAGAAATACCAATTTGTGTACTGTGAGACACATGTTTAGCCTTGCAGCGCGCCGCTTTCAAGGTGGGGGCGAGAAAATACAACTTCAATGCCACTAAAAACGAGTTGACCCCTGCAACAAGAAAGTGCGTCTTTTGAGATTGTCAACTTAAGAAGTACTCGACGGCAGCGGGAAGGGCGCTGACACCCAAACATCCGAGCGTGATGGGCGGCTACAATCATTCGCGGGAGGTTTGATTCAACCGCGTGTGCCAGACATATCCTCCCGATACAGCGGAGTGAAGGGAAACTCGGCTCACGGTGGATGGGAGGTCCAATATAGAGAACCTACATTTACCTTGATCTTCAGGTGGCGGAAGTAGCCTGCGGGTGCCCACTGAGGATCATCTATCTGCTGGAAGTTTACAGTCATTTCGCGAACCGACTTGAGAGGGTTGCAAAGGGCAGGGAGAGGGAAAGTCAAAACAAAAGACAAGTCCAGACAGGCGCACCGGGAAAAGGAATCAGAACCGCCGACCAGTCCAGCGACAAAACTGGAAGCCGCCACAAAGTTGTGTTCGTGAGTCTGCGAACATTGCTGTTGGATACATGTGCTGGATGATTT